CCCCCGAAAATAACAGTTACCCTTTTTAACTGTCTTCCTCTTTCCCCCCAGAAATAGCATTTAACGGTTTTATCCCCTGCCTTCATTTCCCCAGAAGTAGGTCAGGTGAGTACGCCGGAAATGGCAGCCCGCCTCCTGAATGCGACGACCTGGAGTCCGGGAAGATAGGGAACGGCGATGACTGCGGCATGAAGATGACGTCATTCACACACGTGCCGGAGCCGCTCAACGGAGGACTGCTGGGTGAGTCTGTAGTTTTAGCTTTAGTTTTAGTAGAGGTTTTACGGCGCTTGCAACTTTATAAGGTAATGTGAACGCCAGAAGATTAGAAGTGTTACAAAGGAGTAACAAACATATGAAAGAAGGAGGGGAGATGAAGATGATATATGTTTGATTTGAAAGAAGAAGCAAACCACACCAGAGCACCCGCCAACCTTGGTGAGTCTCGTCTGGTCCCATGTGTGCTGCTGAACAACAAAAAAAAACCAAAAAAAAACCCCAAATCAATACAAAAACGCGTTTTTTCACCGACATAATCCAGGCTGACTCTCTAGTGGGTAACTTGGGAGCAGATCAGGTAAAGTCAGGGCAGATAAACTTTATAAATCTATGAGGGAAATTTTGGATGGATATACCAGCGGAAAGTCCAGGTTTGAACCTCTTCCGGTCTTCAGCTTTTCTGAGCGTGTCTCTGAGTTCAAGGCCTGTCTATTCTTTGATGTTGTCCTCCCAACTCTTCTTCGGTCTACCTCTGCTCCTTTTTCCCTGGACGCTGCCATGCAGGATCGTCTTGGCAAGGTCGGATGAGCGGGTGATGTGTACATACCCAAGGCAGTTTGCGTTTCCTGACAAGAGTACACACATACAGCGATGCATAACTCACTCACACAAGCGTACCCGAACGGTGGGTTCGTGAATCAGCCACATATCAAAAGGAAAACTATAACAAGATTCTCATGTTCTCGCGTGTTAGATATTATCATTGTGATGATACGTTTTAAGATAATATCGACGCCTTTGTCTGGTGGCGTCGGTGGCCTAGTGGTTAGGCTACCGGACTCGTAATCGTGAGGTTGCCGGTTCGGGGGTTCGAGCCACGTGTCCTCGTGAAAGGTACTTTACACGAATTTTCCTCCCTTTACCCAGGTGGGAATGGGTACCTGGCCATAGACAGTGAAAAATCTTTTCAGTATGTTAGTGTTCTAGCGCCTATAAATGGCCACTTGCACTGTATGGTTCCCAGGAAGTTGAGATTGTTTTAGAATGTTCTCAGGTCTGCTGGGGTAATAGTATAGATTGTGAAGCGCATAGAGCTTGCTGTTGAACGGGGATTTGCGTATAGAAATGCTATCTATTTTTACTATTTAGAGCTACATATATCCCACGGGTCTGGCCTGTGTAGAGTTGTTTCCTCATTTTAGCAATACCTCATTATTATTTGTTGTCATAACACTATCATGTTGTTGTTTAATCAACATATTACAGTATAACACGGATACGTCGTACACTGAAGACTCGAAATCACGCATCCGTGGAACTGTGCCTGGGTCCTGGGTTTTTTTTCTTCTTTAGATCTATCTTTGTAAGAAAATTTCGAGAAGGTCGAACGCAAACACGGAATAGTCGAACTAATTACGCCGCTGTAGAGGTCTAAAGTCAAGGTCCTTTAAGGTGCACTTGAGACAAAATAATAATAATAAAAATAATAATAATAATAATAAAAATAATAATAATAATAATAATATGCATACATGTTTTGTTTTCGATGGATGAAAATTCATCAAGTTTTACAAAGAAGTAGTCCAGATCTATATCTCAACTGACTCAACAAATGTAAGGTCTTTGTAAGTCCAGATACTACTACATATTTATACGTTTTTGTGAACATGTCAGAAAAACACAAAAGTCTGTATGAAGTAAATAGTTTTCTTTCTTCTACTCCAACTCAACATCCTTGATGCATTATCAACATGATATGTGTACGAGAGTTTTTGCAGTTGTATAACCTATTTTGATTTTGTAACTAACTGCTCTTTCAAATAATATTATAGACCTACTTTCCAATTACCACAAACAATTATTCTGACACAAGTTTCTAAAGTTCACCGCTCACTAATAAAATCCATGAATAGACAGTCATTTCTATCGATTGGGCAGCTTCCCAATGCGGAGATGTTTTAGAGCAGTCTGACAGAAGAATCGGAACGTGGTGGTAGTTTAATTTACTGACGAAACTGTTTAGTAACTCGCATTTTCTAGGATCTGGCAACCTCAATAGTATTTTTGTTGATCTCAACACAGTGAAGAAGTAGGACATGGGAGGTGACTCTCGTCTATCGTCTACTTCTTAACAACTTTGAGGGTTTGTGACCGGTCCAGCCGGAACAGAGATAAACTACTACTACTACTAGATCTACTAGATCTAGTTAGCTAAGGTGTTCTGTTTATTAAGTCTTTAAAATTAGATCCAGATCTAGATCTAGATCTAAGTGCAGACTAGAAAAGATCTAGAAATGTAGATAAGTAGGCCTAACTTTCTAGTCGTGTGTACTTCTTGTTCTGTCTGTCACTGTCACCGTCTGAGCTTATTATGGAGATGAATCATGTTATAATCATGACCATGATTATCATGTAGACTGTACTGTAGATTAGATCTGACTATAGATCTAGACTAGGCGATTGTTAAGATTCCCGCATTTAATTCCGATGTGCGTTTTTCATACCTCAGGCATATTTCGCTTTGGTCCCTAACCTTAACCCTAACCGGAGTAACCCTAACCCTAACCCTGGCCCTAACGCCTAACCCTAACCCTAACCCTAACCCTAACCCTAACCTTAACCCTAACCCCAACCTAGGGTTAGGGACCAAAGCGAAATATGCCTGAGGGTATGAAAAACGCACATCGGAATTAAACGCGGGAATCTTTACAATCGCTTTAGACTATAGTATAATAATAGTTTAATAGTAAAATAGAGGGCAAGTGTAACCTATGATCCGTTAGTGTTAGATTATTAAATTTATTCGCTGTTGTGCTGTGTTACAAGTTTTGGCTTCTGACTCATACAGTGGCAGGGATGTCCTCGTAATAAACCGAACATGTGAGTGGTTGGCAGGTGCTCTGGTGTGGTTTGTTCCTTCTTTCCTATCAAACATCTATTGTCCTGATCTCTCCTCCTATTTTGTGTTTGTTACAGTGGGTGCCGCATTCAACGAATGCATTCATTAACCAAATAAAAGCAATTAGCGGCCCCAAAAGCGAAGATTTTTTGTCCTTTCTCTCCATCTCACGCGAAGCGCAAGGCCCATCCTCGATTCCTAACACATTGTATTGCTAAATCTAATGTGCCTTGTAACATGAGCTCCAAAGCCAAGAGGATGGGCGAGGGTTAGCCTATAGTAGGGATGAGGGGGGATGGGTGGGAACGCGATGCGGGCTGTTTGAAACTGGACGAACTCTGGATGGGTAGGTCTAGATAAAGACCTTCATTTTTTTCAATTTTCTTTTCTTCCCCATATCAGTAAATATCCAAGCTCCCGCCTTCACTTTATGTAGATCTAGGCCTCGATGTGAGAGGGTATGTTTCCACTCGAGAAGTGTTCCGGTAAAAATAAAGAAAAATATTTTTTTAATGCAGAAATGACGGTCAGAACACAGCTCAAACACGGGCACAATGATGCTGTTTGAGATTTTCGTCATCAGGGGGAACAACTGTTTTAATTACTGGTATTGGTACATCGTGTAATATAATAACTGGTCTCCTTTCTTTACTTTAGCCTCAGTCACATTCAACGAGAGGTCGAATCCAAAGAGTACAACAAGTCGGTCCCGGCAACCTCGTTGAATGCGACACCCACTGTACTCGCTTGTAACACCTCTAATCTTTGGCACTTAGGCTCTATACCTTATTGTCACTGTGTTGCAAGTACTGTAAAACTCTTACTAAAACAAAAAACAAAAACAGAACATAAAATCCAAAAACCGCGGTAGATTCTAAATCAAATGAGAAGACAGAAGTCCCCAACTTTTTTTCTTCTTTTTTTCGAGTAACCTCTTAAATATAAAAAAACAGGCAAAACTGAAGAAAATCCAGTGGTCTTGTAGATTTAGGTTTCTGAGGACTACAGTGAAAATACTTTTCCTTTGGCACAGAATAGTATGTGTAGTAATGCTAAACTTGTTACTTTCATAATCTCAGTCGCAGACTAGATCTAGTGGGTGTGTAGTAATGTTTAATTTGTAACTATCATACTCTCAGACACAGACTAGTGTGAGTGTAGTAATGTTTAACTTGTTACTTTCACAGCCGTTTAGTTTTTGTAAAGTTTTACGGCTCTCGCAACTACATGAAAGGTCATATATGAGTGCCAAGGGGTGGATGTCAACAGAGAAATCCAATCGTGGAATCTGGCTTACTCTGCTCATCTCTCTAGCCTCAACAGCACAAAGTCTGCTTTGACTATTAAGGCACCCCAGAAATAGCAGTTCACAAGAGTGACAAACATACTAAAGAAATAGAGGAAAATGATAATTGTAAGGATGAGGAAATAAAAAGCAATGCTGTTCTGGCACAGTATGAGCATGACATTGCATTGATAAATCAGCCCATCAACAATTCTACTGTGCATAAGAACATGTTAATATATTTCCCCTCTTTGGGAACGGCCTAAAGACTCTTCAGTCAGTAGCACTGCCCGGGGGGGGGGGGGGGGGGGGGGTGTCACAGTCTCAGACACAGACTAGTGTGTGTGTAATAATGCTAAACTTGTTACTTTCATAGTCTCAGACACAGACTAGTGTGTGTGGTAAAGTTGAACTTGTTACTTTCAGTCTCAGACACAGACTAGTGTGTATAGTAATGCTAAACTTGTTACTTTCAATCTTAAGCTGGAAATCCATAGGCAGGGAAACTGTACGGCAGCGGAATGACACCGGGATGGTACAGATGGCTCAAACAGAAAAATGTCGTTGTCTGAATCCATTAGTACGGAACGGCACCGGCAATTCTGCGGTACCACGGCAGCACTTTTTTAATCAAACACAGGAGTGATGCTGCCACAGAGCAAAATGTGGGCATGGTGCCTAAATATTTCGGTGAAAATGCCACATTGCATTGTGGGCGCTCTTGTTTCATGAACGTAGACAGTTTTGACTGGGTAGGTTCCATGCTGCTAATGCATCGAAACAAAGCAAAAAAGGCGCAAACCTGCTGTGCCATACCGTGTCTGTGGATTCAAACATTGAAGTTGCCTCTTGCGATACCGCACCGCTCATTTCGTCCCAGTTTCGTTCCGCTGCCATTCAGTATCCGTGCCTATGGATTTTCAGCTTTAGACACAGACGAGTGTATGTTGTAATGCTAAACTTGTTCCTTACTTTCACTGTCTCATATACAGGCTAGTGTGTGTAGTATTGCTAAACGTGTACTTTCACTGTCTCAGACACAATGACGTCCTACTGCTGTCGGCGATACGTGAGCCGGTTGTTCCAGACCTTTGGGAAACCGCAGCCTAAACCCAAGTCAGAAAGAAAGGAGCATGAACTGGGGTTGTCGTGTAAAAGTCATAAGGTAAGTTTAGAGAGAGAGAGAGAAGGTGTAGGTTCTTGTCAGTTCTGTTGTGATCCTAGTAAAAACCACATTGTAAGTTTAGAGAGAAAGTTTCAGGGAACATTTATTCATGCTGTCAAGTTCTTCTTATAAACTTTGTGAGAAAATGATAATGAAATAAGATCTTTTCTTAGACTCCCCTGTTTTTCCTTTGTTTCATCTACTGAAGATTTAGTTACTTGCTGTGTTTTCATTTGCACAGTCCCTACAGTGAGCTGCAGGTCTCGGCTCTAAAAATACTTCATCTCTTTTTAGATCAGATTATTCTACCCGCACAAACCACTGTTCTATGCTCAAATTACTGTCTAATAAAAAATTAATTTCCTACATTTGGATACCTATCATGTTTAAATTTCTGTGACTAAACCTAAGGAAAAATAATTTTCTTTCTGATTGAAGTCAAAAAGGGAAATTTTGCTACCAAAATGTCTTGGTCACAGTGAGGAACATGGCAAGGGAGAGGAAGAGTTGAAGTAGAGCATTCTTCGTGTTCGCTCAAACATTTTCTTCAAATCTCACAGTTGATGCTGCATGTTTGGCGCCATTGAAATGAGGCACTCATCAAAATAATGAAATAGGAGAAAAAGGCATTTTTCTACCCGTTATGCAGTTTTTAATGATTTAATTTTATTTAACTGAACACCTTTTATGTACATGTTAAAGCAAATTCCTGTTTGGAATTTACTGAAAAAATGTTGATCCGTGGTGCAAAAATTTAAATTTTTAGTTTCCAGGGACATTTAAGCTTTTGGAGTCACCAAACTTTGGCAGCCATTTATTGCTAATTCTACCTCTGACGATGGGCAACCACCACCTTTTCAATTCCAAATATCTCGACTTCTATTCAAGATAGATGGGTACTATGACAAATACACAAGCTCTAAGATGATGCCAATTCATAACTCAATAAATAGGCTCAAAAATGGGAGAGCGTCTGATTCCAACTTGTGGTGACTTATACAATGCCAAATCTTCTCACACCCGACAGCTGATGCTGTATAACGACATTATCGCCCCGAGCCACTCTGGCGGCTTTCACTTACTTCCCCTTGGACTGCGGGCCCTGGAAAAACTGACGAGGCTGGTGGACCAAGAGATGGAGGCCATTGGTGGGCAGAAGGTTGCCTTGACGACGCTTGCACCGGAGGCCCTGTGGCACCAGTCAGGTATTCCTTGCCTCGTCAGGTTGTTGGGTTTTGTTACGAACTGAGATTTGAACCCATGTCTTTTGGCTTCTGATTCTTTCATCTCCCTCTATGTTGGGTTGAGTACGTGGCTGTGGGGGAGATTTGGCTCTTGGGGGAGGCTCCACACTTGTCTCAGGAGGTGGACTTTGCTTGTAACGCTTGTAGCCTTTCTGTCTCATGAAGAACATCAGTAGGTGGTTGGCAGGCGCTTTGGTGTGATTTGCTCTTACTTGCCGATCAAACATCTACCGCGGCTCCTCCTGCCAACAGGAAGTGACTTCAGTCAGCGGGAGAAGAACTAGGTCAGGCTGAACTTAGGGCTGAGGTAAAAATTTGACATGAAGAGGATAGGTTTTAATGTGTTATTCAAGATGTGTAAGAGAGTGTGTTATTCATGATGTATAAGAGAGGGTGTTTTATTCAGATGTGTAATCTGTTTTGTATATTTTCCTCTGTGTGTGTCCAGGCAGGTGGGTGTCGGCCGGTGCGGAGCTGTTTACACTCAAGGACAGACACAAACACCAGTACTGTCTGGGTCCGGTGAGTGGGAGTGGGGGGGGGTAGCTGTTTATACTCAAGGACAGACACAAACACCAGTACTGTCTGGGTCCGATGGGTGGGGGGTGGGTAAATTAGGGGTGGAGGTGGAGAGTTGACACAAACACCAGTATTGTGTGGTGCCTGTAAGTTTGTCTACTGCTGTATTTCAGTCTGGTCTGAAGACACATTGATTGAAGTCATATTTTACTAACTAGATCTAGCTTGATTCTTCTTCCAACAACAAGTGTGATCAGTAGCCTCAGTGATTGTCTTTTTGTGTAAGTGTTCTTTTGTCAGATTACTAGTGCATGTGTGTGTGTGTTTGAAAGGATTGTTGTACCGGTACATTGAATGAGCCAGTATGCAGGAAACATGTCAGCTGTCTAATTTTTAAAATTCTATTTTATTTTGAAATGCCTACTATATTGTTATTATTAAGATGATACTATATTGACCCTGTGAGAAATTTTCTGTGGCTTTAAAGAAGTGGTAAAAACACATGTAGATATACATAGAATTTAAATCTTTTATTACTTTTATAAAAGAATTTCAATATGAAGAGAAAAATAGAAGCTGACAACAAACAATACATGTCACACCAGGTGCATCTCTCAATTCACATGTAGGAATTTATCTCACATTTTGAAAGTTATACTGATATAGATATGAGTAGTTACAAAATCAACAGCAGTACACATAGCTAATAGCAGCAGCCTAATGGTAGATGGTAGATATGTGTTGGTCTTTGTTGGTTCTTGGTGCTATGTTGACCCTGACCGATTTCACTGACTGGTATGTTGACCACGACTGATCTCACCAACAGACCCATGAGGAGCTGGTGACCAAACTGATGGCCAACATGACTCACATCTCCTACAAACACCTGCCCATCAGACTCTACCAGGTAATTTTTGCCACCTCTTCCTTACCCCATCTGTCATTTTGGTGTATTCACAGTGTGCCGTCTTTGAAGCCCGTTTTCTGGATGGTATATCTTAATAGCCTACCCTGCCTCACTAAATATGCAATATTATGAAAAACTATATGAGATATAGGAAAAATTAAATTACTGTCGTGTTCAGCATTGAATCGTGTAGCATCGTGGTGAAATCAGATGCTTGTCAAAATAATGAAATTGAAGAAAACAACATTTTTATGCCCTTTTTTGTGGCTCAACACTTTTTATGTCCGCATTAAACCACATTTCTGTGTGGATTTTACTGGAAATCATTATTGATCAATGGCCTAGGAAATGTAAATTTGCGGTTTCCATGGACTCTCAGGCTCAGGAAGTCACCATACTTCAGAGGCCATTTTCTCACTAATTTTGAATCAGGTGACCCCCGGCTCCTTCAATTGCTAATATCTCGATTTGTGTTCAAGATAGATGGGTATTTTGTATCAAAGGCAAAACTGATGAACAAAAGCTTTAAGATAACACCAATAACCATATGCCCAAAATTGACGAGAGCCTGATTCCACCGGGTGGTGACATAAATATATTTAAGAAACCTTCCTGATCATACAAAAATCAAAACTCTGACATTTGGTGCCTTACTACATGCACTGACATGCATGCACACACACACACACACACACA